TCATTCATTTTAAGATGCATTTAGTATTTCTGAATATTATCATAACTATGACTGTCAAAACCAAATGACACAGATTATAAGTGTTGCTGTTTATGTTATATTCTGTGATGGTTTTATATTTAAAACTCTTAACATATATAATATAAAAAAAAATATTTTTGATAAAATTTATCATAAATATATTGTAACATTAATGACGTTCACCGGTCCTTATACTAGAGAAAATCGAAATTCTATAGATTTTCTTGTAAATATACGTTAATTTAGGTGCGCTTTTTGCCTATAATATAAATTTCAGTATACCTCTTGTGGTATAAAAATCGAGATACTGAGCCTCAAAGTTTCAACTTTTATACCAAAATTTAGTAAAAGTTGAAACTTTGAGGCTCAGTATCTCGATTTTTAAACCGCAAAAGATACTGAAATTTATACCACGCATAAAGCACACCTAAATTAACGTATATATTCACAGTTTCAAGAAAATCTATAGAAAATCGATTTTTCATTAAGTATTTTAAAACTGTAAGTCAAAATTCTAAATTTTATGTACATATAAATAGCAATATTATATACAAAGTGTCAAAAACTTTTTAATTTTGAGCTTTCAATAGTACATGGCTGGTTAAGACTATTATGAGCATATAGCAATGTAATGCAAATCTTTCAAACATATACTTAACGAAAAAAATGTAGGAAGCATAACATGCAATGTTCTAACGACGGCTAAATCTAAATACACAAATAATATAAACGTTAGAAACACGAGAGTATGTAGACGCTTTTTCTATTCAGTACAGAATATAATGCGATCTGTCTGTGGACGAAAGAATCGTGGTACGTGCATGCAGGTGTACGCATAAACTTAAATGCTCAAGGTCTTTTGCCGCGAAGTTCCTTTTCTGTGTCTGTGTTCGCGGTTTTCTCATCGTCCAAACATGTCCTGATATATAAGTGTCGACCTCACGGTTACCGGGAAATCATCGAGATACCGTGGACGTTGCTAAAGCTATCTATGGTGTGTGGCCGAGCGGTTTTTTTTAGGAATGAAAAGAATTGAACGGCAAACCCGGATTGGGAAAGGTGAGTCGCCATCATCCGCGTCTTCAGAATGAAAGACATAAAAACCATGGTCGGTATATTTTCTGTGGTGTCAATTTCTCCTTGTAATATAACCCAAAAAGATCTCATCATCTTTCACTACTGAAACATGCTGCTAAACTATGTGAGCCATTCGAATTTGAAAGGCAAGTCCATCGAATTTTTATATTCCACGTAAAACAACTACACGGTTACAAAACAAATTTCTAAAACTATTAGCACAACTGTTTTGACTTGCAAATAACTACTCAAAATGTTAATATTAATACCATGAATCAATTTTATGGCGTGAGATGTCAATTAAAAGATACGAATTGCAAATTAAACCAGGCCAAGAGAGAAATTTAATATCATGGTTAATAATAATAATAATAATAATAATAACAGTAACAGAGTATTGAACATAACACCATTATAAATAATGTCCCTTCTACTTATTCTTTCGAAATCGGCTAAACTATGTCATTGAAATTATGATCGAATCGTAACAAAATGTTAATTCTGGTATCGTTCGCAAAGAGAATACTTAAATTGTCGCTTGTTCCGAGTTAGTTCATGAAAAATTTCACGTCGCATAGACCTCGCGGATTAATTTTCAACATGTAAGATAATATTAGCTGGTCGGCACTGAAAGCGCTCGCGCTCGCGCGCGAATAACTTTGCGCAACTATCCTGCGGCCGGCATTCGCGCAACCACCGCCGCCGTTAATAAGGTGTTAGTCTGGCTGGCACATGATCGAGAAACACGGGGCATAGGATAGGACGTTGCAACAAAGCAACGGTGACGGGTACAGACGAGCCGTATCCGGGACGTCGACCAATAAAATTAATCGCTTTTGCTACATCGCCTGAATAATTTATGCTCGCTGCTGTGCTTAGGAGTTGACCGACCATCTTTCGCGACCGAGAAGTGTGCGTGTAACACAGTTGGGATAGATCGTTTATAAAAATAGACATTTACTCGCACCTGAACGCAATAGAACGTGGATTTAGTAACATTTTCTTGGAAAAATCTCTTTTAAATTGGCTGTAAGAACATTAACACCGCGAACGTGCATCTTACTATAGTATGACACATACTACAATACTCTCTCTTTTTCTCTCATATGATTTAAAATACACATTTTAGAGAGAATAAGAAGTTCCATAACATATAAAGCATATAAATATTTTAATTCTGTCATCGTACACTCTTTTTCGGCACCCATTAACGGTATGCGTGGGGACGTTTGCGTCCGCGACATATTAAACAACCTAAAACTTTATCAAAAATTCTGAAAAAATTTAGGTGTTCCTTGAGATCTTAACTATAAGCTTAAACAGTAATAATATAAAATTAATTTTGCAATTGTTAATTTAATCGTTGAACCATTGCAAAAGAAATATAGTCAAAATGCTGAGGACGCAAAGAACCCACATGTATACGGTTGCAGGGTTGAATAAAGTGAAGTTTTTTTTTATGGAAATGTCATATTAAATGTAATGTCAATATTTCAATATTATATAGTATAAAAAGATTTTTTAATTTTTACATTTAAAAACGCATTTTTTTATCTAATAGAACGATTTTATTATAATTCTCTTTCCAGTGTTTTGAATAAGAAATGACCGATTTAATTAAAATGCCGCATTACTGCAACGGTGTGTCCCGCATGTGGCTTTCTTCAATTTCGAAATATATGATGCATGAAAGTTTGCTGGCCCGTAAAACTGTCGACATGTCAATTGGTAGTTTCTTCCGTGTCGTGTCCCCATATCCGCGCAACAACGTTGCCCCCAGATGCGCGGTATGCATTATTCAATGTACCCGGAAGGCCACTGCGGGTCCGCCGAAGTTGACTCTCCTCCACTATGCAACTTGTATTTTCTTTATCCGCTCCTGTATGCTTCTTACACGCTTCTTGGTAAAGCTCACAGAAATGCGCTAATTGCGCTTAAACCGAGAAATACGAGAAGAATAGAAGAGGCATTACTTCTCACACCTCATAAATAGGTATACCAATAACACTGAATCTTGATACGCCATGTAGAAATACAAGTTGCAAAACGTTAAAAAAGAAGTTAAACATTTCGACGCGGACTTTGCAAGATATTTACTGTTATTACGCGTTAGCTTTTAATCTATTCAGCTAAATTCATCCGGTTTATGTAAATCAAGTACTGTAAAGTTACGTAACAAAATACCACTTCCAGCCATTAAGAATATATTGCAAAATTTACAAGAGCAAAAGACACACGTAGATTTTGCACCGTTTATTGGGAGTGTCGCGTAACGGCCGGTGTAAGGCGGCACCACGGTAGCTATTAGGAGCAGGATGTAACCGTTCAAGAGCGAGTGTTTATCCGAGCCCTCATAAATCACGCAAGGGCGACAAGCAATTATAATAACTGTACCTGGGTATAAACGCGTAAATAAAATACCAAGCCCTTCGGCCAAGTAATGAGGCATACGAAGCTGGATGCGAACCAGTTCCAAGACTCGTTATCGCGACAGAATAAACAGCGAGGGAACACTTTCTCGAGGAAGTCCGTCTCGATTATCAGTGTTTCAGGTGCCCTAACGCACGCCGCAATAATAACGGCACCGCCAAACCAAAATAAAATTTATTATCGTAATAAATCATTCCTCTCGAACGTGCCTAAACAGCAGTGTACAAGGTAACGTGTGTATTTTTTTACTACTTTCCATTACTCTTTTGATTGCTTATATTGCTCTCGCGTTACGCTACAATACACTTATGTAACGTGTTGTTTATCCATAGAGAATCAGATGCCTATTTAAATAGACATCTGGTTATTAAGCAAGGTACACTTTAAACGGAGAGATTGCCCACGTAAGTCGTCTTCCGCACAAAAATATTCCGAGAGAAACCTCCAAAGTTTCAAGGTCACACGCCGGATCTCGTCGACCGTAGAATTCAAGCGGAGTTTCAGATTTCAGCGGAACGAACTCGGCGGATTGCGGGAGAGGGGACAAAAAGGACGTGGTGCGCGGATGTGGTGAAGGAGAACACGCGCGCGGAGAGAGGACCAAAAGTACATCGTGCCGCTCGCCATAACCTTTTATCAGTTATCTAATTAGCCGTTGCATTTAATTAGCGATCCGAGGAGAAAGCCACGAGATAGCCCTAGCGCTGTGCGATACCGACACGGTATGGGCCTGCATAGCTATACGTAATTTTAATCGGCACCCACGTCAGATAAGAAAGGTCGACGGATGCAGGACTAGCATCCGCGTGCACTTTGCAATTAGTCGTATTTTTATTTATTTAACTATTTACCGCTTATTGAGCTGCGCATGAAAAAAGGCTGACGTGAAGCCGTTGGTCGACAAGAATTTTAAGGGTCTCTAAGCACGTAATCTTACGCAAATCAAGGAAAAAATGGAAAACATTACGTAGACGATCCGAGTTATAATACTAGCATCGTACAAATTCTATTGATTAAAAGATGATTTTAATACTCGTCGAATATCATGAGACGTCCTTTAAATTCATAAGCGCATCTTAAGAACAAGCCCAACTAATGCAAAGAACCGTTTACTTTTCATTTATCTTTTTCAAATGTTGATATTTGGAAATGTTACCGTTATTCTTTCTATAATAGAAAATAATTTTAATAAAAATCTCCTATTCAATCAAAAACATTCGTATTTTTTCGGTAATCATCCTAGGTAGCAAGATGACGTCTGATTGACGTCTAGAGACGTCTCTAGACGTCAGTTAGACGTAATTAAAACGTCATTTGACGTCACTCTGCTACTGGGGATATACCTAGTTTATAGAGTATTTGTTATAGACAAAAGACAAACTATAAGAAATAAGATAAATCGCGTAAAAAAGATTAACAGACCTTTGTGACCCGTCATAGAGAACCGATGTTTATCTAATTTAGACACTTACCTTTGCCGCATCTTCGATGAAAGTTCCGATGGTCATCACCTGCAGAGTGACCTCGCGAGTATTTTCAAGTTCTTCTGGTGTCGCGTATAAACCTTCGCTAAGGAAGTATGGTTCGGGACAAGTTAATCTGCAAAGAATAAATATCGTTACAATAATCTATTCCGTTTGATAGATTTAAATTAGATAAAAGAACTCATAATTAGTCACAGTCTAGTAAAACATATATTTATCTTTCAGGAGTGCGTAAAATATATAAAATCTATCTTATTAATATTCATATTAATTAAATATTCATAACATATTAATTTTTATGGAAGAGTTAAAATTATAATAAGTATTATATGAATGTTTTCATATACTTTTATTTTTAATATTCTTGCGAGAAAAAATAATAATAAATTAAAATCCATGATCCCGACGTTTGGGTCAACATTTATGGTTATCGTAACTATTATCCCAATATCAAGATTTAATCGCAACATATAACCGTACATGTACTGTGTATCATAAACCGCATTATCTCGATTTAATTATATTGCTGCGCGGTACATAAGGGGATTCTTGAGAATCTTCGATGACGAATACCGAGCAAGAGAAATAAAAAGAAGAAGAAAAGTATCATATATAGCATTTACCAGCCAAAAGCTCGATCACTTTTAGGTAATTAAAAAAAATTAACGTTATGCAGCTATTATATGACGATAAAATGTATTGATGGTAGGTATTTGTATCTACCTTTCTAAAAAGGTTTATTTTGATAAAATTGGAAAGATTTTTACAATTTAAAATGGGATCACATTATTTAATATTTACATGTATCCGCAAATAGTATAATGCGCGTATAAGTAATACTATAAAGTATGAAAAATATATATAAATTGACGCGGCTTATTTGTCTTTCAACGATTTACAGGAGTGGCGAATTTATTCCATTTCAAGTAAGTGGGCTACAACGCAATAAATCACCGAACCTCGCGGGGGCCAATAATATTTCCTTCCCGTCTCTCTTTTGCAGGATATTAATCTTTACGCGGTATACAGCACTTTTTTCGTCATGTACGAGTACTCGTGGCGACGAACGCACGGATCCCGTGCGCTGCTCCCGGGTCACGGCAAGTGTAATAAATATGTTCCTTCCTTGTCTTTAGATGGTTGAGGAGAGAAAGAGGGATGTGTACGAGGCAGGCGAGAAAAATCGAGCAGTCTGAACGGCCCCGAGATTGCGTGGCCGGGCAACATCAATTTCGAGGGTGATTCCCGGCGGTGTCGGAAGAGCCTCGAAAATTTCGAATGCCCGCGTAATCGAGGAGCCTCCTAAGTCGAGGTATAAAGGTGCTCTTACTTGAGGATACCACCGCCACCACCACCTTTACTGATGCCTCCTCTTCTGGCTGTCCTCGTCTTTCCCTCCATCTCCCTTTCTTCCTCGCTTTCTTGTTTCTCAGCGTCCCTTTCGATCGTCGTTTTTTCCATCGTCCGCGATAATGATACCCACACGCTCTCGCTCGGTAATAATATTAATGGCTTCGTGTACCCGGAGACGATCGGAGGCTCGGCAAAAGGAACATCGTGGAGATCCCTTACGCGAGGAAGCTCGTCGTAAGAAGCGGTCTCGGAGTGTGCTTCGCTAGGTATTATACGGAAAACGTGGATTCACGCGAATTAACTAATACACTTGCTTCTTATTCATTCGTAAAAGGTTCATATCGGTTTTTCTAATAAAGCTTATGCGAATTAATCGGACGCGGGTAATCGAAAGACTCCGGAGATTGCCATGATACGATCATCCAGTCGTCTAATAACAGTAATAACTATTTTAGTGGTATGGTATATGTTCAGATTTTTGCAAGACTTTTTAGAGGAAACGATTTCGTTCAGAGAGCTCAAGCTCAGAATAAAGAGCAAGTCTTGTTAAACCAGAAATAAGAAAAAGAAGAAAAGTCGTAAAAATTTATGGTCCTGTTGTAATAGTTATATGATTGGATTTTTAATTATACATAAAACTTTAATGATGCATTTTAATTTATAAATATATGATTATGTATTCGATAGAAAATGACTGAAAGAAGCTACTTCAAGGTTCGTATAACAGTTGTGTTTTTTGTGTTTGTGTAAGTCGTTTTTTTTTTTTAATTTCAGCATTACGATATTTACTTTATTTTCTTTTTGCTCCTTTCTATGTATTAAAAAATATTTTAATGATTTTAATTTAATATATAAATACATAAATTATATATTATTATACATTACACACACAAATAAATGTATGATCAAATTAATATTAACACATGCAAAATAATAAAGGCAGTATTTTGATAATATTTGGACACATATTTTAGCATAATAACGCTATTCTACATTTTAACGTAGACACCAGACAACATTCACCAACGTTACAACCATGATTTATTTGATTTCACAGAAATAAAATGAAGAAATTAATTTATTAGCCCTGAAACCAGTATTGCATAAAAAAAACTCATACGTGCTATCAATGGCTCGGTTCTGCACAATTAACGATTTATCTTGAGTAGGTCTCGACTGGTTGCTTACGCAGTCGGCAATAGACATCATGTCTGTAATCCATAGACCCGTCGATCACCGAATAGATCGATCGCCCACATATGTATGCTTGCTCGGACAAGCGCAACGACGCGTGCAAATATTCTTGCAGCTTGCGCTTTCGCGATATTGAAAGGAGAAATTTAAGGCTTGAAACAAGAATCAGTAAACCCTTATTTTTAAACATAATATACCTATACCTATATCTATTTAATAAATCATATTGTATTATTAATGTAAAAAGAAGGCAAGAGACAGAGAAAGAAAGAGTTTATAATATGATATTATAGTCATTTTGATAATCATCGTTTATTTGCAAGTTTTAAAATTACGAACAGATATCATTTTGGCTCGAACGTTGTAGGCCCACGTATACAGACGAAGGAATATTTTGTTAGACGGAGTAATATATGTTTGCTACTTATTCGGTAAAATTCGCAAAAATTTGAAAATAGTAAATTCTGCTTTTTTTCGCATTAAGAATTCCTTTTGAATGTTTTCGATTGTTTGAAACACATTAATATTCAGTCTTTAATAATGCTGCTTGAGAATCGTCTTTCCAAAACGAGATCTGATCTCGTCGATTACTGAAAGTAATCCGACTTGGTACGCTTTATCGCGAAACAGTCATTAAATGTTATACTTTCCGCGAATCAGTTCTTCGCAAGCTGCGTCATTAAAGTGCCGTTTACTGGCAGAAAATCGCGAAACGCCTACGATGTCGTTGAGCCACCTTGTTTTCGTAGCCTTCCCCGGATCCTTTACGCTTCGCAAATTTCGAAAGTAACGCCAAGGAGATTTCACAATACAAATCATAAATACCGCATAATGAAACGACGGATGAATTTAGCAATATAATAAATACTTTTTAACAAGAATTATTTTTTAATATATTTTTAAATAATTGCAACGTTCTTAAATTATTGCGCTATTTCTATAGAAAAGCTATTTTATTATCAACCACACACTAATAAAAAAAGAAAAAACAGCATATGTAAAGTATACGGTAAATAGAAACAAGTGAACCACAGGTCATGTTTATTCCTCATTTGCAAGTATAAAAAGAAAGAGTTCTGCTGAAAATTATATTTGTAAAATTAGTAGATTTGTATTATTAGTTGCTTATTACGTATGTTGTCATATACATTATGTTATTTAGCAGAATGGAATCTTTTAATGTAATTAAATAAAAAGATATTTTATCTCTAAGCATTTTTTTTCTTAACAACATATATTTCTGTATAGAAATTCGTTTGTGGTGGCATGATGGCATAAATTTTCTGTGTCTCTTGAAAGAAATCTTACAAATGTTTACAGAAGTGTCTAGAAATTCCGAAGAAACTATATTTTTAACGCATTTAGATGGTTAGATATCGTTTACACAATAATTATACACATTCGACGAGACAGCTATTCCAAGAGATTTTCATGCATTTTATTTAGTATCGGTTAGCATGATTAGAATCGGTTTCCTATGGTAATGCCACAAAAAATGCTTTTATCATCAACGAAGCGAGTCATACTCGCTAGGCCACGTGTCGCCGAAGAATCGATAATTTGATTAAGTCTTAACAAAACATACGAGATTTCTCAAACCCCAAAGTAACATGACAAATAATTACAATTTTTTTGTATTCTTGAATATCTTAATCAATAAAAGCAACAATAATGAGCAATATGCTCAAAAAATTGAGAGATCGAAAAAAGTAAATAAGTGTCTGAGAGATCCCTCATTATTGTCTGCATCAATTTTTTTCATAGACTTAAGCATTAATTATTATGTATAAATATAAATTCTACATTACCGAAACTATATAATTGTAAAATAACAACAATTAAATTAACTGCATTTTGCTTATGACAATAATAAAAAGAGTACGTACTATAGGTACTCATTTGTATTTGTATCTGTACTTATTTATATACAGGGTCTTTCCTAAGTGATGTCAAAAACTCTAAGAAGCGATTCCTTGGACAATTTTTAAAGAAAAAAGTTCCAATTAACATGGGGTCCGGAAATGGTTCCTTGCACAGTTATGGGCCTTCAAAGTTTTATTTTTCTTTAACTTTAAAAGCCCATAACTCTGCAGGAAAGCATTCCGGACCCCATGTTCATAGGAACTTTTTTCTGTATAAAATTGTCCAAGAAATCGCTTCCTGGAGTTTTCGATATCACGTAGGGGTAGGGAACACCCTGTATACACATTTATATTTAAATTATATGCAATGTGATGAAAATCTATTAAAATTATTTTTTATATTGGCATGCAAATTGTTCTAAAAGAGGAGGAAGTCTTTAATAATGCAAATCATTAATCACGAAAAAAAGCACAGCGCAGTAATAATAGCGTACAATACTAATAACGTTACGCGATTGGATTTGGTTGCTCACTCGACGATATCCGAAAAACAAAACCTATGTTTTATCCAGGGCATTAAACTTGTCAATTAGTTACGTAGCAGACTGCAGCTGCTATTTATGGTATGTATGACGATCGAGTGTACAGTATGTACGAATTGAATGTAGAAATCGGGTACTACTCGTTTGCGGCATGTATTTAGCGCGACCAATATGAGAGGATTAAAATTATGCTGGGACACGATAAATCTGCCAATGTCGAGAAGTTGATATCGGAATTATATAAATCACAAGACAAATATCTTAATCGAATTAAGAAGTCTCGTGAAATGTCATAGATAATATGTTACTCGTCGTTTAATTAAGATATCATTTAAGTTATTCATGTATAAAATGGACGGAAATCGACTGCAGGAAATAGAATATGCGTGCAGCTAATTATATTATTATATAAAGTTCAATTTTTTATAGAAGCTTTGTAATAAGAATAGATTTTTTTATCGTCTATGTAATTTCTCTGGAAATAATTGTAAAAATTTCCTACCACATTTAAGTTACTGACTTTCCAATTTTAAAGAAATTTTAAATGTGATTCTAAATAAAAAAGAATATTCATAGTCTTCTTACTTTAGATCAAGATTTGATACACTGTTAAATATTAAAGGATGAAATTTAAACCAATACCTTGAGTTAGATAGCATTTTGTTATTTTTAACCATCATATCAAAATTTATTATTTTACATGAAACAGTATTATTTTAACTCCATTAATTTAGTTAAATTAACGTTGTTTTAGTTAAATTAATGACATATTGAATAACAGGAGTAATAACAGGCGCCCTATAGAAATGATTAAAAATGAGTCAAATTGAGTATTATTTGACACTACGAATTTAACAGTGTATCGGTATAATTCCGCCGAGTTCAATTTTCCATGTTACTGATATAAAAAATAAACCTAATTGTAAAAATCTTTATTTTGGATAAATACGTTATCCGACGGATTCGACGGAATATGATCAATATCGGTAGCAGAAGACGCGATTAATCACGATCGAATTATCGCGTCGTGTCAAGAGAATCACTCAAATTCGTCCGATTTGCAAAATGCGCTCTCGACTGGCGAGCAAAATTAGAAAAGCGGCTTCGACAAACATGGCGATGAGTGCGCGAATATCGATTTATTTACCTTATTGATTAACGCATCACGCCGATCGCTCGAGACTCATCTTGCTGCTCCTCGATACTCGATATACGTTAGATGACATTCAGGACATTCGTTGGACGAATAAACGACGCGAGAGGCCCGTGTCGAGAAACGGATCTTCGAACGAATGCCGAACCCAGCCGAACCGACGCCGACGCGACGAAACGCGAAACGCGACGGGCCCGGATTACGAATACCGAGAGACGCGCTGATACACGAGTTAATTGATACACCGAGATGATCATCCGTTATTAGATTCATCGACACAGCTCCCGGCACTCCCGACACTCGTTCGTACGCGGAAATCGCGCGGGACGGGTAAAGAGACGCGAAAATACGTAATAAACGCGGCCATCGCGGCCTACCCACGACTCCTTCCTTGTATGGTGTGTGCAATGTGCACCACCCTCTTCACCCCGCAACCGCCTGGCAGCGGGCACTGGGCAGCGTCAAGAAACTGCGGCATCACGCGACGCGCGATCAAACCTGATTGGCGGTTACAAAATTCGGTTACGCGACCGCGTTCAATTTCGCTCTCGCTCCTCGGTACGAAACTCATTAAAGATGGTTCGAACTCTGGCTGAAGTAATATTTTTCGCAATAATTTCTTTACAGTTATTTATATGCTTAGCATCAAAATTAAATCGAAATGATTTAATTAGGGGAAGAGAGAGGATTTTACTCCAATCACAGCTGCGTTGCAAGTCTGACAATTAGTCGGCGCGCAAGTTATTATGGTTGGAAGATATCTATTAAAATTAAAAATAATTTAACGTGAACATCATCTTGTTGCGGCTCTGTGCCCTTTCGTTATATATGTTTGATTTCTAATCATTTGAGCTTATCATGATTATCATTAAAGATGTCTTAATAATAAATCGATGAGAATAATAATACTGCTAAAATATAGTGACGTAGAGGAGAATTGAATTACTTGGACGTCTATTAAAATCTTTTAAAATAATATTATGTATTCGTTTGTATTGCGTAATTTTTTATGGTTGATAGAGGTTGATTTAATAAAATAATCTATTAAAATTGTTGATTTTCATTTGCATATTTAAAACATTCTATTGCATTCGTTCACAATAATAGAGTACTCTCTTTTAATTTTTTTACAAATGATTATAATGTTCGTTTCTAGTTTTTTTTTTCTTTTACTTCATTATATCATTTTGTTAGAGTGCCCTGTTTGCCTTACGCACGTGTTGCCGAATCAATTTGCCAGATGGATAGAAAAGAGGGTAAAAGTGCAAAAAGGCAAACTCGACGAAGTCAGATAAGGGTCGGAAGAGGTAGAATGAATAATAAGTGCAAAATTGACCATGCGATGTGTACGAGGAAGAAGGACAATGCGAGGCTGATAGAAAAACGGAGGGAACCCCATGGCCGCACCCTGATTTCACGCATGTGATGAGTCGTGTAGGCGAAAATGAAACGGCGAATTTCTGACTCTTAATCTAAGCACGCGAGTGCGTGAAATCGCTCGACGATATGGTTGAAACTAATTTATTGGTCTTTTTCGTGCGCGGATTCTCTCTCTAATTAATAGGTCATTAACTGACAGCTATTGCTACCAGCATGATTTTCAATTACTTGCGAATTAGCAAATCGCATCTTTATGCTACGGCAGTTAAGAACCTGTTTTTCCTATTTTTAGAGAACGAAGAATTAGAATCTTTTTCTCGAAAATACATTCCGTTAATCAAGCAACTGTCATGAAATTTTTAACAAGTATAAATATTTAACAGAAACTATAAAGATATTAATTGAATAAAATAATATCCTCTTGCGACTCTTTGCAAATGATATTTTGACAAATTGAAATTAATTTGAGATTAGATTATTATAAATAATAATATACAACTGTACAAAAATAAGTTAATTTACAATTTTGTAATTCGAAATTGTAAATATAGTAAAATAATTAAGGAACAACAAATGAAATTTGTCGTTCCCTAAATCATTACGGAAATAACAACAAAACAATTTTCCTCTTCACTCTAATGGTTTTGCGTTTATTGTCTTGCATCAGGTTTCATCGTTCTGCAACCGCGGCGTAAAAACGCGGAGATGCTTTTCTTCCTATCTCCCTTATATCATAAATCACGTCTGGTTTAGGATCGTATATCGCAAAATCATTGCGAAAGTTTCCGTATCAATTTCTCGGCGACACACGATTCTCTTGTCTAACAATAAGTTACTGTTACGTATAAACGACACATCACTGTCACAAGCTGGCTCGATAATCCCGGCAATAAACTCAGCCTAGCCGTTACCTATACGAGAGTACGACGAGTTTATTTCGAATCCGTTAAGCCCGTTTATCGGGATAAGAATCGGACTTGTTTGTATCGCGCGGTATATGAAAATTGCGCGTCAAGCTAACTTCTACCCTACTATCTAACGATTCGGAAACATAATCGCCCGCGGATTATACGTATAATATAATAGCGATAAATATCTACGATTGATAGAGCCAGTTTGTATACGTGTCGTAATAAATATTCAGCTTAATACTATTCCCTTGCTTTACGTGTCGTGTCTACAGATGAAATTGCGAGGCTCACCGGTACACATATGTCGCGCAATTTTACCATACTCGAAGAGTGTCCCTGAGAAGAGAGAATGAGGGTGTAGGTATGTATCTGTTGCACACGAAGGTGATTATACTAGTCGCGCACGCCTCGAGTATTTACCGGGTGGTCCCTGAGATAGACGCGTAAAGCAAAATGTCAAGCTCTCGATCTTCCACGAACAATCGATCATTTCAGGTTGCATCATTGGCCGTACGGGGTGGATCGTACGTGATGTATCGTCGAGATGAGCCGCGCGCGCGCGCGCGCTCGCACGCCAGACCGAGAATACAGATAATTTGCCTCCTACCTTCTTAAGTTACGTTCGTTACGCGCCGTAACCTGATTAATGATAATACGGGGCTAAGAGGGAATCATTTTTCTTGCTCCTCGTATTCGTCGATCGAAGATCAAAGAACGCGTAACGGGGATATAATTTCGGTGGACACGACGCCGAAGCAACAGCAGCTGCCATGGAGATTTTGTACCGCGATAAACACTTATTTATTTCAACTGCAGTTCCTATCGTTAGTATCATTAATTGTTATTTAAGAACAAACTCTTGTGCCGCGTCTCATTTGCTGGTGTAATACTTACTCGATCTATTAATTGTTATTTAATTGTGGAAACATGATTAGAAATTGAAAAGTGCTCGTTTGATTCATTTAAATTAATGCGCACTCTCATCTCTTTTCGTAAAAATACTTTTTACGTTATCTACAATTCACGCAATTAACTTGTGTAAATTATAACACGTAAATACGTGTTATTCTAATGATCTTTAAATGGATACCACTTGTTATTATCAATTTTACTGCCACTATCTGTACTCGATATACGTACGACTGCATTTACTTAGCATAATTCTATCCGTAATTAGATGTAATTATCTGTGGGTATAACTTCAACTTTATAGACACAAGATTATAGGTCCATATATTCTGAACGTACTTTTATCAATAAATACGCGCGCACTTATTTCCAAGATGCTATAGTATATGTAACATGAGAGCATCTCAGAAATAAATGCACACATTCATCGATAAAAGTGCGTTCAGAATATATGGACCATAGTTTTCTATTTTATTTTACGACCTACCAAAAAATCAGAATACGGCGTAATGTAATGCGCTCGTCTCGATGTTTATAATAATTTCGCATTATAACATAAATCAATTGATAAACGAACGCGTTGTAACCCCACGTCAACTTGATAATCAACGTTAAAACTCGCGAATGATAAAAACGCGCATCTTATAACGATAACGTGACTGTTGGACAGTATAATGAACGTGGCTTTTCTCTTTAGTATCTCTGTTCTCCCACTTAATCTCAAACCATTCGAGTATTTGCCTTTCTGTGTGATTTCATGATGATATATGATGATTTCGATGACAGGAAACATATGTTCTCGCTTTGCCTCAATGTGGCATAAATATCGAAACGATAATAACTGATACGCTCGCAATGTGGGAGAACATTCTTCTACGCTATCCATATAATTCCAACAGTTTATGTATCTAATATTTTTAAATATTGAAGCTTGAGCTTCCAAGTGAGATTTTAAGACATCTATACCTTGAAATATTTTAACAGTGTAATCGTACTTTTCTCTTAATCTGCAGGTTGCACAATAGTTTGTCAAATTAAAATATCGCAATAGCCTAGTAGAAGTAATTTCTTTTTGTATTGCAGTTAGTACGTCTTTATTTACACATTTCATATGATTCTCTATAACAAATCTTCTATATGTATTTTTAAGTATTTTTGATTTGCGGCAAAGTCTGCAATGTGCAATATACTTGTCTCTTCTTGTGAAATATCGCCAAACTAAGTAGGTGTCGTTTTTCCATCTTAAGCAATCTTTATTAATTATTTGATTATCTCTGTTTAAGTGTCCTTGCGCATTGTGTGTATTATATTTATAAATTTTATCACAAGTATTGCATTTTATATTTCAGTATTGTTTAATTTTTTAAAATGTTTCCACATCGGACTACGTCGATTATTTTTAGACGACATTATATCCACTCACTCAGTATCACGGAGCGTGTATTACTAAATATGGCATATTGATTACCAAGAAAAATATTCCTAGTCCTCGAACATTTAGATTAAGATACACGTTTTGTCCATATTGTCAAGCTAAAAGTCAAGCTTATTGTTAGCTGTAAAAATTATTCACACACATGTATATTGCCTCACATAGATACAGTAGAGATGTTGTCACAGAGACGCTGGCGATATTGTATCAATTTTTTTCAATGCAGCGCTAGTGAGAAAGCCTTCTTATTAGCACCGTAAAGTGTTTAAAAAAGTGACGGGGATGGTTTCCGCGACGAAGATGATGATAATAATAACAACGTATCTTAATGCAAAATATTTATATGTCGGATTTTGCATTGCAATATCTCCACTCGTAGAACACGTAAATGAAAAATAAAAACACTTTTATTATATAACTCAAACCCCAAGCTATCGATTGAGCCTACTCAG